TCTGTGGTTTGCTTATTGTACTGAAAACTGCCCAGAACTGCAGGGTCTCTACTCAACACCACAATGGTTTCTCTTCTTGCATTCTCATCTCTCCCAAAAATGTGTTGATTTGAGTTATTTTTGAGACATTTTGTATCATGTGATGTTCACCATCCCTCAGCCTTTGTCTTTCTGTCTTTAGCTAAACTGTGTTTGACTAGGCTTACTTCCCATTTCTAGTTAAAGATTGGATTGGATTATTGGAATACTTTAAGAACCTAGTTTGCAATTGTCACTTTGAAACAAATCAACATATAAAAAATTCATACAATAAAACCCGATATCAACCAATAAAGTGCTACGTTCAAGTTTGTGGGAAGTTTGTGTGGCGTGAAGTCCTGCATCTCTATAATCTACTCCGTACTTTCTGGACTATTAGGCGCACCTTTTATATAGGCAACAAAGTACATTTTCTCCACAAATAAGCCACACTTGAATATAAGCCGCATGTTTTTCATGTTGTAATGTAGTAGATGGTTAAATGTTTGAACTGGTCACATGATTTATTGATGAAGTGTTTAACAGCTCAACAGTTGGACCGGTGAATGAGTTCCGGCATGCAAGCTATTTTTACAATAAAGTTTTCTCTAGCTACTAAAACTTGATGGTGCCAAAAAAGTCCAACTCTAACCCAATAAAAATACACATATTAGCCGCGTCACTATATAAGCCGCAGGGTTCAAAGAACAAGAAAGAAGTAGCGGCCTATGGACCGGAAATTACAGTAAATATTCTCCAGGAGGGAGTAAGGAGGTAATCTTAATGTTGTTAGTTATGCAGTTCTATGCACTGTGATGTCCAGAAGATGACTTTCCTGAGTCATTGATGATTTGAAGATCTTTAAGAGTCTGGATTGATGATGAGCTTCCACTCACGGCTCCTGTCCTCTTTAGCCGTCCACCTTGTTTAGAGCTCTGCTTAAGCTGTGATGTTGCTGAACCACACAGTTGTAGAATCCATAAACAGGCTTTCTATGGTGCAGTGATACAAGTTAAGAAGAAATGTGGAGTTATTTGTTAATTCTCAAAGTTTCCTCAGAAAGGGACGCTGACGAGCTTTTATCACTTGTTTATATAGTTTCCACACAGAGAAGTACTTTTCAACAACACACCATCTGCTTTGCTCTGTGTCAGGCCACAGGTCACAGTGGGCTGGCTTCAGTGACACCACTGAAAGATGGAGTGACTTTGTAACATTCTTCAAAACCTTTTCCTCTGAAGTGTTTTTGTGTCAGCTGTGCTCCGGACTGTAGTTGTTTCTGTCCAAGGGGCCACCTGTGAAACACTGCACATTACTGTTCGACTTGGCTATTGGAAACACAGTTTGTCTTCTTCACAAATTGACACCTTGTATTTGTAATCAAAAGTCATGATTTGGAAATGGAAATAAGGCTGGTAACCATTTTTGGTTGTGTATATATTTTTTTACTATGTATAAGATAATATGAGAATTTACAGAATAATATTTTTGGCTCGTTATCAAGTGCGTTTGCGTCTAGTGTTGGACTTATTCTTGAACGTGATCGCACAGACCCTTGCTGGTAAGCTTTTGTTTGAATCCATAATTACAACTTTAGCATAGATTGGGAGATCTATATTCTGTGGCCGTGTGCAATTTAATGTAGTAGAAAGTTGTTGTACAGTCAAACCTTTACAATCATTACCTCTTGTTAAATTCTTTAGAGAGGGTCTCCGTTTAACAGCTTCTTTTTTGAAATACAGTCCCTTTGAACAAGCCACACCTGTAGTTGCTAACCTCAACTGGACATGGCATGTTTTACAGCTTTGCCCTGCATTTTTCTTTGACTCATGTAAACTTGACCATTTTATTATAAGCTACTCATGGGACATTATGAGATCTTTTGAATGGCCTCCTGTAGTAACCAAAACATGTGATCTATTCTGTTGAAGGGGATATCAATATTAAGCAAATGTCATTCTGAGAGCATGCAAATGTGTTGCATGTGCAGCTAAAATGTCCTTTTTAAAGGCTGCAGTTACTTCATGGGAACTAGACAAAGATTTACATTGAACCCGCCTGTAAGGTTGGAAGGCCACTTTGTGAGTGAAGAAACAGACTTCCTCTCCCCAAAGTAAACTAAACTGCCCCACCAAATGACAGCTTCTGAAAATGATGTTGAATTTGAACATTGCGCTGCTACATGTAACAGCGCAATCTGCAACTCTATCATAAATGAAAAGGTTCGTACAACAATGGCATCTTTGTGAAGACTGAAGTCTCTCTGATGCTGTGGTGAATGGACCGATGGGAGTTTAATGATTGCTTCTGTGGGAGTGTTGAGGTATGTTGTCCAAGTGAAGAGAAGGCCGAGTCTGCAGTGGAACACAAACACACCAATGGGAGAGGTATCCAGGTCAAGGAGAGAACAACTGTTGATGCTTTTGGATAGTGCCTGTTCCTTTGTGGGCCTTTTCTGAGATTCAAAATTGGTACAGATTAGTTCTATTTTGACTCTGATGAGGAATGCACTTATTTTTGATACCTGTGTTTTGTTTAAATCATCGCAAATTACACAAATATTAAGTATGATAAATATTGAGGACTAATAATTAGCTATATTTTGACAATGATTGAAGATCATGCGGCACTATATGGACCAATGGTTCTATTCTGTTTATCATTGTATGTCCTGTGTTCTAATTGTTTCTCTAATCTTTCGCTGGTGAATTGACTCAGAAAAGTCCTCAGACAATTGTTTTTGTAATTTAGGACTATATCAAAAATTACTGGATTGAAAGGGTCACTATTGGGGGAAAAATAAAGCTAGAGACAATGTATTGTCAAATTGGAAGGCCTGGTCTCTTAAAGTAAAACTCTAGCAGATGATAAAACTTGTCTGCTTCTTTAAGCTTTATCCCTTCTTTAAGACTAAAAACCACATTGTCAGGGCATTTTATCTGCAATTTAGATCCATTTTATGTGACATTTTCTTTGTTCACACTGATAAGCAGCCGTAAAGCAAAATGCCAATGATTTAAAAGCCCTGGAGTCTCTTTGATGGGATCTGGTCATTCATGCAGAGAAACACCATGCACATCCTCACCCTTAGACTACTGCATTTGGGTGTCACATGATCGTTAAGAGATGCCAATATTTCTGCAGATTTACTCATGAAAGGGTTTGCTCTCTTCTGGCCCCTTGGCAAAAGCTGGATGGCTATTAAAGTGCCCATAATGATTCCATTAGTGTCATTTGATTGAGGGCTATGGAAATGCTTTACTTTATTGTTCAGTCCCGTCAGTGACAAATGCTATGGCGTGTTTGGTCAAATAGTTCTTTTTTTTTTTTGTCCATTGGAGACTAAAAAGGCTAATCTAATCATTGTGATGCTGAGGTCTTTGATGTGGGCTCTGGTCAGTGTGTCCGTAGGCCCTCCATCATTGCACTGATGTTTTGTCGTTCACATTACTTTCATTTGCATTTAGTTACTTCCTTATAGTAATCTCATGTTGCATACATTGAAAAAGGGCTCGGTCATGAAGACATTTTCGTGTTTGGTATTCTAAGGACAAACATGCTGTTACTTCTGAGGTAGGATTGCAGTACTACTTTCACTGGATATTTCTGCAGGGTGTTGAGTTATTCCAAAGAGTCTGGGGAAAAATATAATTGTGGTGATATTGAAGACAGACAATTATTCTATTTCAATCTTAGGCGATCATAGAAGAGGCTTTAAGATTTTTTTCTATCCCTATATTTTTCCCTTGCGTCAGTCACCCTTAGATCTACTCTGCAGATTAGATTGTAACGTTATAGTTGAAAGCGTTTGTGTCATGATCCTTAGATAAAGACCATTCTTGCTGTTTTTAATGCCACAAATCACTATCAATTATCCAATTATCTCTGCTAAGTCAGAAATGATCCTGCTTGGATTACGGGTAATCAGGGTCTCTGCGCTCTGCCTCTCATCTGCTGGGACTCCACGTTGTTTTCATGGTGAGTGGCTGAGATTCCGCTCACTCTACACTTTATGAACCAGAGCAGGTGGTTTTTCGAACCGTGGGCCAAAGTCACACAGAGAAATACGAGCGGACTGGATGTGATGTAATAAAAAGGGCGAAAGGAATCTGCTTCAAATGTTTAGACTTCGTTTATAGATCTCAAGATTAAGTTACGCTCTGCTCTCGTTTTGTCACCGTCAGGTCTAGTGTTCCTCGATGCGAATGTGACGTTGGGCTGTGGTGGTTGCAGGTTCTATTTCTGTTGATGTTTGTAGTGATATCGGCAGGAACAGGAAACGCTGTCTCCGCCTACAGCAGTAGTGGAAATGTTCAGTACGTTTGAGTTGGTCTTGCTGTCAGAGCCACAGGGACGTCTTTGTTGGCAAGAAACTGATACCCGTGCTGAGGTAAACTGTGATTTATTGTCCAGAGATGTGATTCATTGCAAAGAATTTGTTCCAGGAGGAGAGTTATATTTGTTATTTCTTTCCGCTTCTTATATGCTCTCTACTCACTTCTTTTATCTCAGAATAATTTAGAATTTAGGGCTATATTGATAATGCAAAGATGTGAAATGATTTAAGCTATAAATCATGTGATTTTTTTTTTTTATTCATTAGGTTTGCCATTTGCTGCTAGAGCCCAGAATCTCATTTAAGTGACTGGAAAGATTAAAACACAACATGGCAGGAAAAGACATGAGCTAAAATTGGGGCAGTAACAACTTCTTTCTATGAAGCAACCAACATTTTGCAATATATATATCACTAAAGCAGTCAATGGCATTGTTTATCCTACGTATTTACAATATTATGTTATTTTCTATGTCAAATAAGAATGTTTTAGGAAATTTAGGTGAATGAATAGTAGAGGTGATTTTGTTTCACACAGGAAGCTCTGGTTGCATTTTAAGAGCGTTGTCACCTCTCCACATTTCCTGTTCATACTTGTACTCATGTCTATGTAAACTAACTTTGCACTTCATGTTTTCTGCTGTAGGGTCAGAGGTAAGTCTGGGCCACACCATGTCTGAATCTGCCAAGCACCACCCGGCCAAAGGGGACAAGAGCCATGACTCCAGCTACGTGGGCATCGACGCCATCCTCGAGCAGATGAGGAGGAAGGCCATGAAGCAGGGCTTTGAGCTCAACATCATGGTGGTCGGTAAGCAAAGCATACTGGGAAATGTCGATATAGGTCTTTGTGAAAACCTGCTTATTGTTGCGGTTGGATCTTTCATTCCAAAATGCACAGTTGAAAGTGATTGGAACAAGCAAGCAGCCACTTCTTTGTTGTGTCCGTCTGTCTTTTGATGCTTCCATGAAAGCAAAAGTGAAATCCACAATGTAACTATAGACATGTGTTTTTCATTTAACAATATGCCAGCGGGGTATGTTTTTAGTGATTGCCTTTATACGACCCTCTGTAACAAACAAACACACAGCGGAGAGGATAAGAGTCGGCTGTTGGACTCAAAGTGGCATAATCACTGTGATTACTGCAGCAGGCTCAAGCACTCTCTTCAGGACGCACTCACGCAGGCAGCAGCGAAGAGTTCTGTAACACTCATTAAAAAAGTAGATGCTTTGAATTCACTTTCTGCATCAAAAGAATTTGTGCCAAAGTAACAAAGAAAAGTAATGGACATGACTTTCACCATCCAGGCCCAGGGGAGCATAGAGAACAGGGTCACACCAGGGCATTAGACATTTGAGAAAACCATGCACAGAGTCTGGCTTACCTGGGATCAGTTTTGTGTAATTTTTCTTTTTATTTTCTTTTCTGTAAATCATGATCATCTCAACAGTAATAAGTAATTTCGAAAAATTCATGCTATAATTTAGTGGCGTTTATAATTTGGTTATCTTTTTTCTACTGTGATCTTTTGTTCAAAACATGCTTTGCTTGAAGGGTATTATTTAGTTTTATTCCTAATTAAAGCTGGCATGTTATTGCAGATCCATGAGGGATTTGTGCCAAGCCGTGAAACTTGTTGACCGAATTCTCGTCACTTTTATTTCTTATTTACAAATGTCTCCCTGCACAGCGCGCTACAAGCAAACACATGTTTCCTTATGCAATCTTTCAACTTATGAAAAGTGTCGAGAATGATGTATGCAATTTGTACTGTGAAATGTGGTTGATGATGATAAAAGGAAAGCAGAACTAAGATGTGCTCAAACATGCACTGCCCTAAGTGGATTTCACAGTCTGCTTTCTTGGCTAATATCTGTGTAAATATTTGCCTGACGAATCACTTAAGTCCACCTCGCACTTACTGTAATTGTGTAGTATTTTGTCCCTCAAAAACTCATCTTTTATATTGGCTGCTGTTCCACACATAAGAAAATCCAAAGAAAATCCAAAGATCACACAAAAATGAAACTATAATGAAATGCAACCAATTCCAACAGTTTGGTATCACTATAGTTTTTACATGTATGTATTTTTGGACCAGTTTCTCCAGACTAAAATGATTGTATTATTTATTATCAATGAATCCACAAGTTTGATACCCCATGGTTTAAGGTCTGTAGTAAAGATACAATCATAACACAATCTTGGGACTACCAGAGCTGTCACTTTATGTTGGTCCATGTAAAGTGTTGTAGCAGCTGCTGTTTTGGCTCCGTCCCCGGTGTCTGCACTGTGAGATGCATTTGCCTAATCCCCGCTCCTAGCCAGCTGACCTTTGATTCCCATAATGCACTGGGGCAGCAGGGACATCTTGGACTCGTGTGCCAGGGTTGGCTTTCGGGAGAACTCTGCACCCATGTGTCTTCAGAGCATGTTTACAAATACATTCTTTGGACAGACATGGAAACGACAACACAGGAGTGACTTGCCCTAGAACTCTACAATATGTTTTTAGAGCTGAGATCCAGGAGTTGTTCTAATCAAAACATTTCCCTTCCCTTGAGGAGATCATGCATTTAACAAGGTCTTCATCAAACCCCCCCCCACCTACATTCTTTTAGATTTATGGTTTTGTTGAGTGTGAGAGAAATGACTTGAATGAAAGAGGTGCCTCGCTCACCTTCTTGGCGAGAGATGCTAGTAATGAATCAGGTAAAATGCCTTGAATTCTTATATTGTCCATAACCAATGGCTTTGCGTGTGGTCCTCGTGTTCTCGAGACCTTCCCAGCTCAGCAGTGTGACCTCTACAGCTGCAGTGCTACGGTTCATTTTGAGACCTGTAGGACCCCCAATTCATCTAACATGATGATGAATGTGAAGGCACTCCTGGGGAAGATATGCGTGTAGCACCGTTGTAAAATTGATTGACGTCGTTTACTCTTGGGAAACGTATTTTACCTTTTACTAAATGGCTCTTGTTATCCATATGTCCAGGGCAAAGCGGCCTGGGGAAGTCTACTCTGATGAACACGCTGTTCAAGTCCAAAGTGAGCCGCAAGTCGGTGCAACCGGATCCAGAAGAGAGGATCCCAAAGACTGTTGAGATCAAGTCTATCAGTCACGGTGAGTTGGTGCATGTATAATTGACCTATATACAGACTTTCATTCAAACCATGTGCTTCCTCTCAAGCTCCGTACGTGGGCCTGGTGTTCATTTTTAATCTGTTTGTTATAGATATTGAAGAGAAAGGAGTGCGGATGAAGCTGACCGTTATTGACACGCCTGGTTTTGGTGATCAGATCAATAATGAAAACTGGTGAGCCAATACAACCACTGGAGCTATGATTTATTGTTTACATTCATTGGAAACACTGCCATAAAATAAGCCATGAGTACTGCATACACTAGTATTGTGTTTTAAAAGGCTGCAAATAAGTGATGTATACTGCTTATACTACAGAATTTCTTTAAATATCAATACCATATTTGGGACTCCTATCATCTCCTTTTAATTACAAGGAGTATAATTGGGTTATTGTTACTCGTTCTTGTCCTTATGAACACTATTCTTCTACCATAATGCTTCGGGAATCGCTTTGATCAGTGGGCTGTAGAAAACACAAATCAGAACCACAATATATCAGATCTAAAGCAAATTCTAGAGGAAAAACTTCTCTCCAATAGGCTTTTACCTTTCAACTCTTCGTTGGTGGCATTATGTCCGATGATCCACAGCTGCAATGAATCTATCACAGCTCCCATGGCGCAATGCATTATGATTAATGTGCAAGTGGCGCTTATCCACATTTTAGAGTGCTCTGATCAATTTTTATGAGCATAAATATTGTTTTATATGCATGTTTCAATGGGGTCTTAAAACTGTCTCAGAAGCATCCTGTAGAGGTACACCATGCCGCTTTACTTGCACTATTGTTAAATGTATATACTTGATATGAATATTTGATCTATTTCACTTTTTTGCCATTATTCAGTAGTTTTTTGAGCCACTGTGTTTGAGTACTTCCCTTGTGGATCACTAAAGTTTAAAACCTTCTGGTCTTTTGTGCACCTTTTTTTCCACATTTGCTTTCAGCTGGCAGCCCATCATGAAGTTCATCAATGATCAGTATGAAGCGTATCTGCAGGAGGAGATCAACATCGACCGAAAGAAGAGGATCCCAGACTCGAGAGTGCACTGCTGCATATACTTCATCCCCCCCACTGGGCACTGGTAAGACTATCCCCCCGCCCCGCCCCCGCTGGCCCTGACATGAAGCAGGACTGCTGGGAAGATCCAGCCTCTGTTCACTGTCCCCAAACCAGACGCACACATCTGCTCTGCCTTTTGTTCCTCCACAAACTGTAGTGACCACATGTGCAAGTCATTCTCTCCAAGGCAGCTATCCCTCCAGGAGTCTTATTACATGGGAAAAATCCAACTTTTCCCTTATCACAATTTTTCATGTATGACACAACTTCTATAGAACTGTGCAGTGGGAAGAAGATTGGAGAAGTTTGTTGATTGAACAGAAATAATAAACCTAACCGAACATTCTGCACACGCTATGATCAAATGGTAAATGATCTATAACCAGATGTAAGGGATATCATAGAAGCTTCGAATTGCTTCCACTCTACGTAGCAGTAGTTAAAAAAGTGTACATTGCATAATCTGTTTTATGAAACTGTCACCTAAGTTTACAGTACTTAAGTAAAGGTAAACTTTACTAATCTTATTAATAAAGTAATTAAAACTAATTGATTTTAGTGGCTGGGGAAAAAGGAGTACTCGGAGGACACCTACGCAGGCACAGGGAGAACATGCAAACTCCACTCAGAAAGGGTGAATTCGAAACCAGCACCGTCGTCCTGAGAAGCAAGAGTTCTATCCACTCAGCCACCGTGCTGCCCTAGTATGTTCTCCAATGTCAGTTACTGGTTTTTCTGATGTAGTTGACCAAACACAGCATTTGATTTTCAAATCAAATAGACAAATGAGTACTGTGTTTTTTTAGCCTTTAGACACTTTTATTTAGTATTTACAGGTGATTACTAATGTACATTTCAATCTGGCAACATCCCCATAGACAAATAAAAGCAGGCCTATATATTTCTATATTTCTAGCCTCATAGTGCGTACCATTAAAAAAGTTTAAACAACCGCAATTAAAAATTTTTGTCAAATAAATTAAACCTCAGTTGAGAATCCTGTGCCCGGGCTGTCGACTGTGTATGACTATTGTTAAGTAGAAATATACAGTGTTACCATCCATTATTGTTTAGAACGGGAAGCGAAAACCTGCATTGCGCACACCAGTGACCAGACATGATATCTGTTACTTGACAATTCTTGTGTGTGTGTGTCGCTGCGTGTGTGTGTGTGTCGCTGCGTGTGTTGGATTTTGTCAAAGCCTCATGAAGCAGCTGCTCCTCTTGCGAGACAAGTCTTTTTAGTGAGCTAAGCCACACAAATGTCCTTGTTGCATCCCATTATATTTTGCAAGCAAACAATATTTTGATTTAAGACGATGAAAAAGCAATGTATAAAGATTTCTCGTTTTACATTTAGTTACCCATTGTGGTCATTTGTTAGCAATGAATCCTGCTAATGGACGAACATCAGTCATGACCACAGTCGCTAATGACATCAAAAGAAATATTTTAACCAAAATATTTACACCACTTTCATAAGACCACCATTCTTTTACTACTTGGTGAGAACATTTAAATATTTTGTTTTTCCTCAAACCTTGTTTTATTCCATGGGTTCTAATCTACTTGCCAGTGTTTGTGTAACTTTTGTGAGATGCACAGTGCTTAGTGGAGCGCAGCACAGCCTTGGCCTCAGAAGCCGTTTCCGATAATGGCAGAGTCATGGTTCTCCCTCTGGGTAGTTTGCTGCTTCCTCGTTGAACACAAAAAAGGAAGGCTGCACGATGACACTTCTCCACTCTTGACTCGTTTGTGGTGGTGCAGCAGGAAAAGCCACTGTCTGTGTGGCCAGTTCCAGAAAGCTCATTAGTTATATAATCCCATGGTACCCTAAATATATCTGCTATACTCTCATGATGCATGCACTCAGAAATGTAAGCCTACTTCACTGCACACTTATTTACACGTCTGATTAATGTCCATAAAACATATGCTAATGTGGTGGTTGTGGTGCTGATGACATCTTTGTTTTATGTGTGATCCGCCATGCCTAATGTTACCTTTTTTAAATATTATTCTTGCATATTTAGCCATCCATAATGCTCACCTAAAACAAACTTGTGTGCCCATACATGTTGACAGTTACACATGATGCAGCTCCTTATATTTGAAGACAGTGTTGGGATTTTGGCTGCCACTGTTTTAACCATAGACTGAAGTTTTAACGTGACTGAGTGGACTGACAGCCACTGCCCCGCGGTGGATGGACTCTGCTGGCCTTTGTGGTCCGGGCTAATTGGAGGGCACAGAGCAAATAATATTGGTAAATGTGCACAATGACAGGACTGAGGGGGTCTATGTTGGAACACACAGTAATAGGCCTTTGGCAAAGTCGAGACCTCATCATCAACTTTTTAACATTTGTGGTCGCATAATAAGCGTTTATTGAAAAAAAGAGCTCCCCGGTTTGTTTCTTTTGCCCTGATGCTTAGAGTTTGAGATTTGCATATTTTTTCATGTTTTTAAAGCGTGTTAATACCTCTCTAGAATATTTCCCCAATATGTGATGCATTGTTTGTTCAGTAAATGAAAACTATTTGAACAGTTGAGCATAGATCGCCCTCTACTGGACATTCTTGTGTATTGCATCTTCCTACATTGTATCTGCTTTAACACATTTCTTAAACCAGCGGTTGGTTTGACTTAAATAAATGTACTCAAGTTGTATAAAATGCTTCTATTATCCTGCGGTGTTCCTTATGCATTCAATACATGGGCAGTTTTGCAAAAGTATTTAATGTCCTTTTTGTTCTTTCAGTCTTCGACCTCTTGATGTGGAGTTTATGAGGCGTCTGAGCAAAGTAGTCAACATTGTCCCGGTCATCGCCAAAGCCGACACGCTCACACTGGAGGAGAGGGACTTCTTCAAACAGACGGTGAGGCATTTCATTCAAACTAATATTTATACCCATGGAACCCCCTCCTGCTCATTTCAAACTTCATACTTATGCATATACTTATTATATTATAGTTGCACTTCAGAAAAGATTTGTATTCATTGTTGTACTTATTCTTTACATTTGCAGCTGTTTGTTGCTCCTTACTTTTTTTAAGTTCTCCTTTTATTCCTACTGTTCTGTAATGTCTTGCAACACTGACGTTTGTTGGATGGATCAGAGTAACCAGCCACACGTGTCAAAAAGTTAAAGCTGGAGTACCTACAGTAACTTTGAAACCATAAAACAACTATGTGCATGTATTTTTGACCTGTGTCACAGATTAGCTTTTTCTGTGAGAGTACAGCATCATCCCACACTTGCTTTGAACAGAAATGGGATCAAATGGGTGACGCAGTATAGCGCAGTGGCTGGAACTCCACCTCTAGGCCTTACTGTGGGGAGTTTGCATGTTGTCCCTGTGTGTAGTTTCCTCCAGGTGCTCCTGTTCTTACCTACTTCTAAAACATGAATAATAGGAATGTAATGAGAGAGTGAATGGTTTGTGATGTTCAAGGACTTTTATGCGTCAGCGTGTCCACTGTCTCGTTTCTGTCATCACTTGTGGAGAGAATGGAAAAAAGCGGTACTCAGAAATTGTATAGCGCTTTGTGTGACCTTGGTCGGAAATGCGCTTTATAAAGATTACTTACTTACATACTGAGAGCTGATTTTCCAAGTAAGTAAAAGATAAAGATGGCATGTTGTCTGATTTTCACAATGTTTCTTAACCAAAACTTTCTGTTGAGACAAAACAATGAGATGGGTACACCAGCTTTAATTGATGTCTTCGTAGTGCCCGCTGTATATGTTGGTAATCTCCCTCCACAGTCGCACAAAGGACCATGGGAACTCGTGTATCACCTGCTAAAGTCCACCGCAGGTTTATTTACCCGACTGTGACCTGCACCTGTGCCGTCTGGCCGATGTTCAAGCCTCTGCCCATCTCCGCTCCGCACACTGCCCCCTCATTACCTCTGAAGTACATGTGATTATAGGGGTTCATTATGGTTCACCACTGGGCTCTTTCGGAAGCTTGTGGAGACGCGATAAGAAAGGCTACTCAGAGAATTTGAAATGTCTGGACTCTATGCGCACTGTCCTTGAATGTTTTACCCTCCTCATCATCTTAAGTGGCTCTTGATATTCAATAGAACATGCGTCTTGAAAAATATTTGTGTAATATTCTTTTGTGGAGTATTATTTCCGGCATTCCAGGAATTTCAGAATGATGAGAAAGTAAGACGGATTATGAAGTGGAACAATTTTCTAAATGTTGCATAAAACGCCAAAGTTTAATCCCATTAAATGTTGAATTCATGAGGCTTCTATTGGAATGTCTCATTGTTATGGGGCAGTAGCAATCTGCAGCCACAAGGGGTCAGTCAAGCGATGGATTCCTGTAAAATCTCTCCAGGGCTGTGTGCATCTCCGGCTATACATTTCTGGGCTTGTTTTGGGTTTTAGCTCCTGAAAAACCTTTTAACTGGGTGGTATGAATATTGTTTATAGATTTTCCAATGTGTTGATTATAGAACAGCATGAACAGGAATGAAAATGGAGCGGGTTCAGAATCAGAATAAATTTATCTTTCGGGTTTTCTGGTCAATAAGGGATTTTTCCGAATGTATGCAGATTAACATTTACAGACCTCTTGTTGACGGTTTAAGTGGACTAAAGACTTGCTCAAACAGTCTAGTCAACCTTTTTTATGAACATATTTTTGTAGACATGGCTATAGTTAGTGTTAGTTAGTGTTCCCATTATCACCAGACCTAATCCTTACACTTCCCACTCTTGAGCAGTAAAACCAATGTCAATCTGCAGGCTTATTCTATTGCATACTTTATAACCGTAATGTCTTTATCCAGTCACTCAGTTTTCACATAAGAAATTGTGTTTTGTGTGTGACTCGTAGCCTGCGCTGACCCGCCAGGATGAGGTCCTCATGTTCCTTCAGTTTTGGTTGGCTGCCCGTGACCCTGAAGATTATTGGCCAAAACATCTTTTGCCAAAATGTGTTTTCATTTCTTTCTGCTGCTTTGACATGTGAACCCAATCGTCTCGCTCCGTGCAGCTGAAAAAGCCTGCTCATGTGGCGTATGTGGTTTCAGTCCTGTATTGTTCAACTGAAAAAAAGGAAATCTAAAATAATTTAATACAGATCCCATAATCACAACATTAGTCACAAATGGATACTGTATTTTTTTCTTTGGTTCTGAAGCTCCTGATGTTTACTACTGCTTTAAAATGTTTTTCATTTTACTGTTGACATGACTGTGTTTTTCTAACTGAATACACTTGATTGATCCAACTAGACTTGATTTGATCCAAATCAAAAGCAGAAAATGTGACTAAGGAAACAGTTGAGACGAACAGATTAACTCGTATTCATAGCTGTGTTACATTTTGTCAGGTTGGTCTTTCATACATTGTCAAAGTACAAGCATAATGTGTAGTTTTGGGCACACTACTGTTATTTATACAAAAAAAAGTTCCTTGCTTGGTGATATATTGCATTTCCTAAAAGGTTCCAGTCTGACATTGAAGGTCCCATTATAGGTGAGTGCGGAGAGGTGACCCCCGTAGCTGCTCACAGTATAATGCATTCACTAGTCAAGTGAACGTAATCATTCCCTTCTTTCTGTAAAAGTACTTTATGTATGTACTTAAGTAAAACCAAAAAATGCATTTTGGTTGACTCATTGACAGACAAGGTTGTAGACTATGTTCAATTAAAACATTTTACATTCATGTTTTATACTGGCACAGATGGAACATGAGAAAACGTGTATAACCTAAGCCCAATAGAAATCTGAATTTAGAAGCATGGCAAACCACAAACGATGAATTGACTTATAATGCCAAGTTTCACTTTTTTTGTCTTTACTTTCTAAGAAACCTTAAGGAAAGTACATATATTTGGGTTTAAAAGTATGAAGTTGTCTGATAATCATTGCTTAAATATAGATACCAGAAAAAACAAATACAGTACTTAAGTAAAGATGCTCAATACTTGGCAAACAGAATATTTGTATATAATTTGCGCATCTTGGCCCATCAGAGTGCGTGGCGGTGAGGAAACAGAAATGGATTGTCATGTTATGATGACCGATGACTTGGCCACGGGGCTGCTCGGCGCTGGCAGAAGATGGATTGAGGCTTTCGACTTGATTTATTGTTTAAATTCACCAATCAGACTCTCTTCGCTTTCCCACCTTTGTCTCACTTGTCGTTATGGAATAGTTTGCCCTTGCTTTCAGTACTTTAGTTTTTAAAGCCGACCGTCTTGCTAACATTGCTTTGCTGCATTTGTCCTTGTGCAGATTAGGGAAGGGCTGCGTGCTAATGGGATCGACGTGTACCCTCAAAAAGAGTTTGACGAGGACGCCGAGGACAGACTGATCAATGATAAGATCAGGGTGAGTCCGAACATGCCTCTTGTCAAATAAAATCAAAACTATATTGTATTAGCCATGGCTGCATAAGTAACTTTATTGATCTTCTTTGGTAGGAGATGATTCCATTTGCAGTGGTGGGGAGTGACCAGGAATACCAGGTGAACGGAAAGAGAATCCTCGGAAGGAAAACAAAATGGGGAACAATAGAAGGTAAAGTCACACAGCATGTTTCAAATGTGGAGGAATCGACGACAAAAAATGACTATGAACTTGACCAAAGACATGGCTATTCGATCGATTATGTTGACTAAAGAAAGGGGGCATAGCAAAAACGATCATCTTAGGGCAGATTTCTAATATTCAGTTGCACTCACAAGACTTTAGTCATAAACTTTATTGATTAAAAATGTAACTGGCTTCTCTATCAAAGTAAATACCAAAATCAAGAGCTAATTTGCTTATGTGCTTCTGGTTTTTGACTTTGTTTTCACACAAATCCAAGTAATGTAAAAGGGCAATATTTAATCATTTTAATGTAAACTACATCTACATCATGTGTCCTCAGCTATTGGTTGATTGGTAAGTAGTTTCCTGCCGATGCAGGAGGGTCTAAGGACATTTTATGAAAATTGGTCATCTGCCCCTATGAACCGATGCCTCCCATGTGTTTGTTATTATTGCATTTCCTGTTTGATTCTCTGATCTATTCAAATTGAACAATTTCTAAAATTTCCACATTGTGGGACCCACAAAAGATCTAATAATCTTAATCCATTGTTGTAATCCTCTGAGATGACTGCTGTGATTTAGGGCTTTACAAAAATACATTAATTTATATGAATTAATGTGCATAAATCCAAATGGACCTTTTTGAAAGAAAACCCCAAAAAAAACAATTTTCTCACTTAAAAATACAATGGACATAATATTGTTTTAAAATTTTCAAGCAAGAAGTCAAATATTTTCAAAATTCACACAAACAATGGCACTACACATTTGCTCAAATGAAGGCTACGGGTTTCATACACAATGCACCAGTTTGTATCATTTCTACCTAAACTCCAGCAGGTGGATTGCATCAGTAATATTTTCTCCCGATTCATCGGCCAATGACTGAATGACCGCTTGCCTCGACAGTGGCAACATTCTCATTTATTTGAAAATCGTTCCATCATTAATTTTTTAAAGGGTAATTTGTCGTAGAGAACCTGCTCTCTCTCTGGGGATGCTAAAGCCGGCAGCAGATTGTCTTCATGTGGAGGAAGTGTAACATTTCTGGTCCGTCGTTGTTTAATCTGTCCATCTGGTGAAAGCGTCTGTAGGGTTTGGAGTTTGTCGCCGGGGAGAGTTAGCTGACAGGAAGAGCAGATTTACGGAGGCTGTCCCTGGTCCCAGCCCACATTAGTGTGCAGTAGCTCTGATACACATTACATTAGCGACTTGGCCAAAACTCTCTGTCCTCATCTCACCCTGCTGCACTGCCGGAGCACAACTTATGAACTGTACTTGTGTTGTATCCCCATAATCCATTTTCGGGAGAATACTTTGAAACAAATTCTGAATACCTGCTTTTAAAGGTCATATTTCATGCTCTGTGGCCCCGGTTCAATTTTAACACTTTTACACTGAGCTGGTGTTGGTTCCCATTTCAGAACCAGTTTTTTTTGTTTTCCACTCAAACTGCTGCTATTTGGAGCTGAAAAGTGGTACGGACTTGGCATCCAGTCCAGCCAGGAACAAATCAGTTCTGGTGAAATACTAAACTATAAACATGTACTTTGAGGAAAAAAAAAAAAATGGCCAAAACAGATCAGATTCAGATTCATTTGCCATTTGCAGTTTGTTAAAGTATTTTACTTGTAGAATTTTGTGATGAATTTAGTTACATGTGCTGCATTTGGAGTACTTGGAATACCTTTGTGTGCATTTGCATATAATTTGTGTAATACAGTAATGGATTTATATGCATATTTTCTGTTTTTGTTGATTAGAAAATAAATGTACACACTTGTCTACATCCCTAAAAGAGGTTTTCATGTTATCTTGTCGAAATGGCACGATAAACTAAGCAGTAGCTCAATGTTATTCCATATACCCATTCTCATCACACGTCACTTCCCAACACTGCCCATATGCATTTATTCACTACAGTTTATATAGAAATTGTGGCAAGCCTCTGACCTGGCCTTCGTGAATGTCATATAAGCATGTATTGTAATTGTTTGCTTCGTTTGCCAATCTGGCCACAATCATTGCACAGTTCTATGCACCTCAAGATCAAAGCACACACGGTGAGGAGGGAAAGAACACATCTGACAAAGCAACTGAAGGCAATACAGCCAATTAAATGTGTCTTGAACAGTGTGTCTTTTTTGTATGTAATTGTACTTCTGTATACTGGGAGTTCCCAAGGCCTCTCCGTGATCCTTGCACAGCTTGCTTTTTAACAAGTTATTGGAGCTCTCCTTGGTCATGACTAATCAGCGTTCGCAGACCCGGCAGTTATTTCACTTCACTCCTTTCAAAGTGAATTTAATTTGCTGCCCATGGATTTCAAAGCTTTACATAAATAGCACCCTCCTCTTTTCATTTATGCCCTTGACATAATCTATAATTTAAGCATGTGTTAGCCCGACTGGAGGCAGCAGCCGCTTGTCACGGGGAGTTTGTTAAAACGTCTCACTTAAATTTCTCCAATAAAAAGGGAGAGATGCATTAAATTACTAGAAAGTGGAGGAGTGTTATCTAGGCTTAAGAAAATTGCTGCACATGTCATATTAGAGTGTGCCCTTGAATTGACTTTAATGTGCAATATTACCATCTAGTGGCCATTAAGAAAATTACATTTTAGTGCAGCACTTCATTTGGAGAGATTGTACATATGTTTGTGAAGACATTAATATTCTATACTTTGTCTTTGCAGTTGAGAACATTTCACACTGCGAGTTTGCCTACCTACGAGATCTCCTCATAAGGTATTTAGTGCCAAATGAAATCAATTAAATAAATGTGGACTGGATTTTGAGTGATGCTATGTTGTCATGACAACCCATAGGCAAGTTCTACATTTTAACTGAGCTAACCCTTATCTCTATCCCTCAGGACTCACATGCAGAACATCAAAGACATCACAGGGAGCATCCACTATGAGACGTACAGGGTCCGGCGGTTAAACGAATCGAACCACATCAACTCTCACTCCACTGAACATCCTGTCCTTCAGCCCAAAACCAACGGTCAAATTGAGATGCCGGCTGCACCTACACACTCTAACGGAGTGGCCATACAGCATCAGGTCATGACGCATGAGATGTAGACGAAAGGATACACGTTAAGAAATAAGGAAGTAATATGATGCACAAGGTCATTGAAATGCTCGGTTTACATTCTGTAACAAGTCCCATTCTTATGCTGTGAAGTGTCGTCTTAGCTTAGATATACTACTACCTACACCACAACTCTTATTTAAGTGACAGACCTGCCGCCAGTCACAATTACTTTTTGGAGAATATATATATTTTCACAATTCCACATTTTCCTAGGATTGACCCAGTCTCTGTGTCTACAGTACCTCACTGACAGAGCAGGCGCTCTGATGGGGCTGTCATGACTGCACTAGAGGCTAAGCACAATAACGTGCTCAATTTCATATGCAACACTGACCAAAATGTAACTTTAAACATATGTATCAGATGTTTTATAGTTATTATATTCAAAACCCAACTAAAAGTTCTGTGATGTATAGAACTATTTAGGCTTGTCTTGTTCAAAAAACCTTATTGACACATCCACAGTGAGTGTACAGTCTTTACGGAGTGGAGCAGATTTGAAGAAAAATGGTTCCTCACTTTTTATTTTTCCACATTGATGTTTTTAAACTCATCTTGCCAGTTCATTGTCTTCATATTGTTATCCCATGTGTTTTTACAGTGCTTGAATAGTATTGTATTTTTATTGCTGATGTTTTTGATCATACAGTATATAATTGTGTTTTGTGCCACCTTTGTATAACTTGTGTCTGACTCCCAAATAAACATGTTCAACTGAGCAGCACACCTATACATTCTTTATAGTATTTATAGTATCTATGTTAAATGTAAATGTCATCAATTGTTCATCTAAGACTTCATACCCATCACCACTGCATGCAAGATCCTTGCATTGATTATAAAGACATTAAATCATTTGTTGTGCTGTAGGCTACTACATAATACAACTTCATCTTAATTTTTTTGAGAACTGTTGCTGATAGTAAGATATTAAATCCTGCCAAAATAAATCCTGCCAAAATATGTCCTATATTTTCATAAAACTTTTCTATGCACACTAAAACTATTTCCCCCAGAGAGCAAATGGCTTTGTTTAATGTTGTATAGAGGCCATGTAATTTGTTAAGATAGGCTATATAGAATAAGATCTTTGATATATGAATAAAGTGATATTTTGTTGTTCTAAATGTCTTGTGTGATTTATTAAAATTCAAAACACAAAAATATTGGGTCTCACGCTTGTCCAATCAACTCACGTGGGCGGGGCGAACGGTGCGTCATCAACACGTGCATGTAGTGCGTTATTATAGATCCATGAGTGTCCAGAAAAAAACTTTACAATAGTTTTGACTACGTAACAATGTAGATTTATTTCTGGACAGTATGTCGAGTGTTTGTAGCCACCTGAAGAAGACCCGGATCAACACCACAGGCCTCCTCTCTGTCTGGGAGCGGTTTGTCTCTTACTCTTTAGTCACAGTTTTCTCAACCTCCTGCTGACTGTAATGTGTTGTGTGTGGAAAATCTTTGTCACATATTCACACGCGGCTGTCCCCTGGCTCCTCTGCCTCAAATGGATCCTGTGTGACAAAAAGAGCTCTGCGTGATGAGTGACAGATGACACTTCAAGGTGAGAGACTAATGTGTTCAATTCTCGACACTTCCAGCTCAACATTGTATTGGATTTTCCTTTTGTATGGGCGAATAATGAAAGCTGACTCTGATCTTCCTATTTAAACTCCTATAGTTTTTTTTTTTACATTATAAAGTCTGCCCAGGCCTAGTATGTGGTCAAAGTGCACCAGAATATCTTCTATTATTAATCATAAAACGAATATTTTGTGAAATCTGAATTTCACCTTTGTATAATGTTTTTTTTTTTTTCTACTTTGAATATGAATCACATCACAGGCTCTTATTCTGATCAGTCTTTCTCAAATTGTATGGATGGATTCCTCTGCAGTTTTTTTAGGTGTGAAGTGAAGCTCACAAGGAAGAAATCAGTCCACTCCATGCTGTCTTCATCTTTAATAAAACATGAATTTTTTGAGAAGTTAAAGATCCCTGTGAGTCACTATTTGATTCTTTGGGCTGAATACTGACGGATTAAGGGTGGTCCTCTCATGTTTCTGTCCAAAAGTAGCTAATGACAAAGAATAAGACAGCAGCCAAAAACACAGTAGTCACATAAATCCCTAAATCCATTATTTTTATTATGAAGTTACATTTTGGGGAGGTTGAAAGTGAGGTACTCCAGCTGGTTTAGCCCTTATTTGGACTAGAAAAGTCATTTTACCACCCCACATGATTTAGATATGATAATTTTGAGTTTGAGGCAGTGGCCTTAGATGTTGCTTTGTGTGAGTAGTTTAAAAACCTCTGATTGAGGCTGTAGATTATGAAGTTGTCAAATCAGATGCTTTCAATAAACACTGTTTTCTTCATCTTCAGATACAGCACTGCATGTGTTTTCCAACCAGTTTTCCATCTGTTGCCTGGTAATGATGATCCGGCTAACTTAGAGGTCAGAATTAGAATTAGACACACGTTATTGATCCACAAGGGAAATTACTTTGACACAGTAGCTCAATTGAAATAGTAAAAATATAATATATATACTAGAAATATATCAAAAATGAATGTCACGCCAGTTGGTTCTTCCATCCACACACAACCACATCCTCCTCGCAGCCTCTGTCTCATCCAGGTCTACAGACAGACAGTTATTCTCTTATGTCTTTCAGATCTGCTGCTCCAACCACCAATACAAAGATTTCTACCTACTTGGCGCCCCTCTCCTATCTGCAGACAACCACCACCGTAACGCAAGGTAATCTTCCGGTAATTACAAGCGATTCGTTAATGATTCCGCATTTATTAAAAACGATGCATGCTAATAGCGCTTCCTGATTTTCTTGTCTATGAGCAGTTTTCGCCGACAAACGCGTCTACAGACAATATCCATGTATTCTATTATCATTTGCCCGCTTCACCCTTGAGCTCTGCCAACACCAAGCATGGCGCCCTGTTTGTTGTTGATGTATGCAAATGCACCACGTCCATCTGTTTATTTGCTTAATTTGAGCTTTGCTTGTTAGTAGCCATGGTCTTGCTCTCTCTCGCCACTTCCTCCCATTGCCCCCAATCGCAGGCGTACACCTCCTTTGCAACCCTCCTGATCTCGCCAATATCAAACATCGGGGTGCCCTGTCTGCCTGGATCGCTGCCAACTCGTTCAGTCAGCGAGGAGGGGGAGGAGGAGGAGGAGGAAAGCAGTCTGGAAATGCAAATGTGGCTTGTTTTGATTAAAAGACAGCTGCAGATTTCATTAAAGTCACCAGTGGAGGTGGGAAATAAGTTGGTGCACCTCTCCGGGGAGGCGGAGATTGTTTAGCTCAAGTGTATGTTGTAGGAGCTGCTGTTTAGTGCGGCTGGGGGGAACAAACAGTACAGACAAAAGGGCTGCCCAGGGACAGCTCTGGGTTTAATGGGGCTGACGGGCACATCAGTTAAACCTCACATTGATGCATAGTGCGACAGAACGCTGGTTGCATGTTAACAACAGTAATAGACAGTGAAATATAGTCCCCATCAGCCTTCCAGGTGCTTAGACTGTTGCTTTTTCTACCCACTGCTGCCAAAGACAAAATATCTATACCTCCAAAGGTGGTAGTAAAAAGAGCAATGACTTCACGTGGTGTCGTCTTTTATGGTGAGGCGGCTCTCTGGAGAATTGTGTGAACATGAAAACGTGACTTATAGTAATATATATTTTACCGCCTCTTCTGTATGCGTTTTCACACAACTTTGACCTTGACCAAATTCTTCTCATGCAGATGTAGGAACAGGCAAATGAAAAGCTCAAAGTGACACTCAAAGAGCCGGTGGTATAATACAAATTCTCTCTCACAAGAGCAGTGTGCAGAAACATGATTGATTTAAATGTATGTCTTGATTCTTTTTCTGTATTGTCTCCTTTTGTAAATATGCATCAAAATGACAACAAAACCACAAACGAGAGTCTACATACTGTAACATATTGTACAATTAACATCATTTAGATTACAACAATCAAAACTAATCGAGAAGGGATTGTCTTTAACAACTGTTTCAATTGTTACTTGAAAACAGGTTTTATTTTTGACTTACTGCTTGTGGTTAGCACTTTATTGTCTTTCAGTTTGACATTGACCAACCTTTGCTTTCTTGTATATATATTCATAAACAAAGTTGCTTACCTTTTCTCCCCTTTTATATAAAGTTGACATATGTGACTTTTTCTTTGAAGGCTGTCCTTGCTGAAGCCAGTGTATGATTTATAGTTGAGAAAAGCATTGTGAGGTCAGGAGGTGGATGTTGGGCGTAGCGGATGGATCTGTTGGCATCCAGCCAGCTTCATATGAATCTAGCTATGTGGCATTTGTGGGGGGAGATTGAAGCAGTGGCTGCTCTGCATAATCAATCAGAAACAATGGGGGAGACAGCCTGCGTCTTTCTTGACAAGGCTGATTGTATTTATGCAGCTAAGGAAGCAAAGGGGAGTCAAATGAAAAGGCATAGGGAGGAAGGTGTGGGCGCTGTAATGAGTGGACTGTGTTACAAAACCAAGGACATATATCCAGGAGGAACTGATTGAATACTAGGCCAATAAAAGCAGCCAGTTTCATGCACCATTGACTGAGTTGGCATCTTGGCTGCCGTTCTGAGATGAAACCCCTTTGGAGGTCATCATGCTGTATCGCATTTTGTTCCTTTAAGAAAGAATTCCTTCCTAATCCATATATCATTGTTTTTCTATTACTAAATTTGTTTTTCCTTATACACAGAATACAGAATTTTGACAACATGTCAAAACATAAACTGTATCTTGTTTTGACAGAAATATATTTTGAAAAAAATCAAATTCTGAGGTACAATAGGTGGGTAAGATAATCAGATTTAAGGCTGCTGTGTACATACACCCAGGGATATTGTTCTTTTATCTTCTCTGTAGGTAGAACAGCGTGTCCCAGAGCAGTCTAATAGAATGCTTGTCTTGAATCTTTTG